GGAGGAAAATGGAGGAGAAGGGATTGTGGTGTGACCATCCCCCTTGGGGGGGTGATTTCTCGCTTTCTGTCTCTATGTCTCTCTCTGTCTGTCTGGCGAGCACACGCGCCCTATAGCGAAAACCTCTCCAAAATAAATAAATAAATAAATAAAAATAAAAAAAAAATCTTTTTGAAAAGGTTTTTGCTATTGGGCGCGTGCGCTCACTGGAGAGAGAAAGGAACAGGAAGTGAGAAATCACCCCCCACCCCCAGAGACAGACAGAAAGCAAGAAATCACCCCCCCCCCTCCAGGGGGAATGGCCATGCCACAATCCCTTCTCTTGGATTCTCCTCCTGGGATTTTGGGTACACACACACACATACCTGCGTGATGTAATTTTGTTTTTTGGAGAGATTGTTGCTACAGGGTATGTGTGTGTTCTTGAGAGATAGAGAGACCAAAGTGAAAAATCACCCCACACGGGAATGGCCACGCCATAATCCTTTCTCCATTCTCCTCTTGGGATTATGGGCATGCACACACATCCAGTGTGTGTCAAGCTGCTGGTCTTGGGAATTGAACTGCAATTGACCACGTGGAAATCTAGTGCCTTAACCACTATGCTACCTGCTGGTTCCATCTTATTTAATTTTCCATGATTCAGACTATATTTTCAATCACTACTCTATTTGTGGTCATTTCCTCACTTCGACTTTTTTTTGGAGAGGTTTCTGCAATAGGGCACGTGCACTCACCAGAAAGGGAGAGAGAGACAGAGAGACAGAAAGCGAGAGATTACCCCCCAGGGGGGATGGCCACGCTGCAATCCCTTCTCCATTCTCCTCTTGGGATCTTGGGCACACACACGCGTGCGCTTGGCGTGAGTTTAAGCAGCCAGGTCTGGGACTTGAACCACAGTCGACTACATGGGAGTCCAGCGACATAGCCATCTGTGCCATTATTCCAACTCCTGGTCTCCCCCCCCCCTTTTTTTTCCCCCTTAGTTTCATTCTTTTAAATTTTTTTTTCAGATTTTTGCCATAGGGTGCATGTGCTTCCCAAGAAAGACAGGCAGTGATAGGGAAAATGAAAACTCACCCCTCTGGGGTGATAGCCATGCCATAACCCCTTTTCCTCCATTCCTCTCCTGGGATATTTGGGCATGCACACACACATGCCTAGTATGATCTTCCAAGTCAACAGGTTTGAGGTTTGAGCCTTTGTCGCCATGTGGGACCAGCGCCGTAACCACACCACCTGCTGGCTGTCCTCAGCTTCACTTGGCTATTTTAAAGATTAATTAATTTTATTTTAAAAAAAGATTTAATTCTATTTGTTATTATTTTTAAATTTGATCAGAGAGAAAGGGGAAGCGAGAAAGCAAGCCATCAAGTCTGAGTCATACCACTGTCAGCCATGTGGGAGTCTAGCGCCTTAACAACCATGCCACCTGCCAGCCCCAAATTAATTTTAATCTCACCAGAGATAGACAGACAGAAGGAACGTGAGAAAGCAAGCTGTCAAGTCCAGGACTCAAACTGCAGTGAGCCATGTAGGAGTCCAATGCCTTAGCCACCACGCCACCTGCAGGCCATCCTCAGCTGCGTTTTTTCCTAAAGAATTAATTTTTTAAAAATAATTAATTCATTTTAATTTGACAAGAGAGAGAGAAAGAGAGATAGACAGACAGACAGCGGAAGTGACAAAGCAAGCCACAAGGTTGACTCCGTGATTGGCTCTGTGGGAATCCAGCGCCTTAACCATGACGCCACCTGCTGGCCTCCTCAGCTTCATTATTTTTATGAGAGATTTTTGCTATAGGGCACGTGTGCTCACCAGAGAGACAGAGAAAGACAGAGAGACAGAAAGCGCAAAATCACCCCGCTCCCCGGGGTGATGGCCACGCAGCAATCCCTTCTCTACTTTTCCCTTGGGATTTTGGGCATTCATGCATACGCATTTAGCATGAGTTTCAAGCCTCCAGGTCCAGGACTCCAACCGCAACTGGCCATGTGGGAGTCTAGCAACACAGCCATTTCGCCATCTGCTGGTCCCACTATATTGGTATCTTGTGCAGCCTGTATTAAGGTGCATCAGTTCAGCCAAGTAGTCCACAAATACTTCCCGTATTAAAATCACAGGATTCCCACCCACACAGGTAAATTCACATTGCAAACTAGTGAGACGGCAGGACTGTGACAAGTTCCCAGGGATGGCTTCATTCTCCGTTCTCAGTCAAGCCAACATGGCACTGGGAGGTAGATTTTCCCTTGGTTTATCCTTTCATCACATTTCAGGGTCCCAGCTTTGTGTACGGATCACTCCAATGTCTCACCTCGCAGGGGCCTAAGATTTTACCTCTAAAACTGGATCACCCAGGTTGGAAACCAGGCAGTTATGGAACCGTCTGACACCGGCTAGCTCCTCTTTTCTTTCCTTTTTGCCCTAGGGAATTACCCTCAGTAAAGTCAGCTACACATTTCAAAGGGGGTTACAAAAGGAAGGTTTTTCCCTCTAGCTAGCTGTCTGTCACAATTACTGGAAACGAAAGTCTAGAAAGATGCTTCACTTCCTTCTGCCAATTTTTAAAAAAACACATTAATTAATCAACAATGAACATTAAACTGTACTGTCCAATTTCTTCAGAACAGGAGTTCCTCCTCCGGAAGTCACGTTCTGAACACAGAACACCCACCAGATGTTTTTCTCATTCAGATTGTATCACACTATTAGGGGCACCATTTTTTTTTTGGGGGGAGGTTTTCGCTATAGGGCGCGTGCGCTCGCCAGACAGACAGAGAGAGACATAGAGACAGAAAGTGAGAAATCACCCCCAGGGGGGATGGTCACACCGCAATCCCTTCTCCTCCATTCTCCTCTCGGGATCTTGGGCACGCACGCACACGCGCCCGGCGTGGGTTTTAAGCCACGGGGTCTGGGATGTGAACCGTGGTCGACTACGTGGGAGTCCAGCGACATAGCCATTACGCTAACTGCTGGTTCCCGGGGCACCATTTTTTTAAGGAAGCAAAGGCATGCTGGCTTAAGGTCATATGACAAGGACCTAGATGTTTTAAATATTCATTTTGGGATAGTTTTGTAATGTGTAAGGAGAGACAGAGAAGATGAAGATCTAAGGAAACGTTAAGTATCTTGCGCTAGCTCCAAGACACGCAGGATATCTGATAACAGTTGTATAAGATAAGTCAAGCCTTGCCATTCTATGTTAACAGATGAGAAACAAAGTTGAGAAAGGTTAAATAATTTCTCTGAGGTCGCTGTGTATAATAGATGAGGTCTGTGTAATATTATACACCAGCTGTCAGTAACCTATTCTGCAAAAGGTCACATACTCAATATTTTGGGACTTAAAGGTCATGTGGCCTCTATTGCAATTAAATTCTACTGGTGTAGGGGCCAGCTGGTGACATGGTGGTTAAGGAGCTGGATTCCCACATGGACAACTGTGGTTCAAGTCCTGAACCTGGTGATTTTCTCTCTCATGCCCTATAGTGAAAAATAAAAATGAAGTTAAATAATTTTTAAAAAAGAATGATTTTATTTAACTTTATTTATTTTAATTTGACCAACAAAGGACAGGGCAAGAGAGCAAAAGTGAAAGAGAGAAAGGTTGAGAGAGGGAGACGGAAAATGAGAAAGCAAGCCACCAGGTCCGGGACTCAAACCACGGTTCGTCATGTGGGATCCAGTGACCTTAACCAAGCCACCTGCCAGCCCCTAAATAAATAATTTCAAATTTTTTTTACTGGTGTAGTTTTAAAACAGTCAATGAGACAATATAAACAAGTGACTGGCTGTGTTCCTATACATTTTATTTAAGGAGGACACTCAAATTTGAGTTTCACAGAATTTTCACATAGAGTATATTATTATTTTTAGTTTTTTGCCATAGGGTGTGTGCCCTGGCGGAAAGGAGACAAAGATAGGGAAGGTGAGAAATCACCCCTCATGGAGGATGGCTACACCCAATCCCTCCTTTTCTGTTTTCCTCTGGGGATTTTGGACACACACACACACACACACACACACAATCATGTGCCTGGTGTGTTTTTCAAGTTGCTGGGTGTAGGACTTGAACTGTAGAGTCCAACACATGGGATCCAGCGCCTTAACCACCATGCGACTGGCTCCACAACAATATATTATTCTGAGGAATTTTCTTCCAACTATATAAAAATATAAAATCCATTAAAAAATTTTTAATTTATTATTATTTATTTATTTAAATTTGAACAAAGACAGAGAAAGGGAAAGAAAACAAGAAAGCCACAGGTCTGGGAGGGACCCGAACCATGGTCACCCATGTGCACCTCCACCACCACACCACCTGCCTGCCACATAAAATCTGTTCTTAACTCACAGTCCATGCAGAAACGGAGCAGGCTATATTTGGTCCATGGGCCACGGTTTACTAACCCTTGATCTATACCATACCATCTTCTTGGAAATAAGGTCCTCCAGTGTCTTTGTTTCAGAAAGAAAGTGGGGCAAGTTCATTTGTAAGACCCTAGGTGATCGAGGGAGCACTGCTACATGGGTCCTGCAAGGTGTGTTTATGTAGTGGTGTGCAGTTTAAATGTCTTATTCCAATGTTACATGCCTATTTCAGTCTTAGCCTATTCTTAAAATTGAACTGTTTCTTTTCTCAAGAGTTTTTTTTGCTACAGGGCACATGTGCTTGCCAGAAAGACAGAGACAGAGAGACAGAGACAGAGAGACAGAAAGTGAGAAATCACCCCCCCAGGGGGATGGCCATGCCTTCTCCTCCATTCTTCTCTCCAGATCTTAGGCATACACGCCCGGTGTGAGTTTAAGCCCCCGGGTCCAGGACTCGAACCGCGGTTGACTACATGGGAGTTCAGCGACACAGCCATTCCACTACCTGCTGGTCCCAGTATAAGGGGCTATTCTAAAAGTATTTCTTGGCCCTATGTTTTTCCCCAGTAGTGAGAGCACGTGCGTGTGAATCCTAAGCCCGACATTCTCTCCTCCCCTAGAACCACTTTGGTGATCTGGATGGCGGCCACTACACTGCTTTCTGCAAGAACTCAGTTACTCAGGCCTGGTACAGCTTTGATGACACACGAGTCAGTGAGATTCCAGACTCTTCCGTCCAAACTGCTACAGCATATCTTCTGTTCTACAGCTGCCAGCCTTTGTCAATACCTACGAAAAAATGCAAGCCCTAGGAAAATGGTATTTCACAAAAACTGCAAAACAAGCAAACAGAAACCGGTAGTGAAGTTTTGCTTTGTCATTAAATTCTTACGTTTGCATGACTAACATTAAGTCTTTGTGGCATATTGTACAACCTTCTAAAGATAGGTTGATAGCAAAGAACATGGGTCCTAGCTCATTGAAAATAACAGTGTGGGGCTGGCAGGTGGTATGGTGGTTAAGGACGCTGGACTCCCCACATGGTCGATCGTGGTTCAAGTCCTGGACCGAGTGGCTTGCCTTCTCATTTTCTGTCTCTGTCCCTCTCTAGTCAAATTAAAATAAATGAATAAAGTTAAATTAAAAATTATTAAAATGTGAAAATAGCACAATGCTAATGTACAGTGGCCTTCAAAGCACTGCACTTTATCTGAGCTCAGATTTTCAAAATTCAGCATTTATTAGTGTAGAGTTCTATCAAAATTATGTATATACGGGACCAGTAGTTAGCATAATGGCTGTGTCACTGGACTCCCACGTAGTAGACTGCGGTTTGAGTCTCGGACCCAGTGGCTTAAACTCACGCCGGGCGCGTGAGCGAACGTGCACAAGATCTCAAGAGGAGAATGGAGGAGAAGGGATTGCGGCATGGCCATCCCCCCTGGGTGGTGATTTCTCAGGGGTGATGTCTAGCAAGCACATGCACCCTATAGCAAAACCCTCTCCAAAAAAAGAAAAAAAAATGTATATATTCAGCAAATAATTTTCCAAAGATACTTCATGTGGCTGAACAAAAATAATTTCTGTTCAAATAAATATGATCCAAAATACTTAAATACAGTGATTTAGCCAATAAGAAGCTGTCAACTTCATAATTCAAAATCCATCCTTTCATCTTTCCCTGTGAGCCTGCTAATGGTGACACCTTTTAAAAGCACTTTTAGAAACTTATTTTTATGTGGAGTGTTTTTATTGACTTTATCTGTATCGACTGAGTCCCTAAGGTAATACATTTGAAGCCTTTATCCCTTTTAATACGTCACTCTATAAAGATGTAGTTCAAAAAGAGGATCACTTTGCAATGACTGCTGTCCCCTTTTACCTTAAGAATCAATAGTCTTAATTATTATTATTTTTATTTTGGAGAGGTTTTTGCTATAGGGCACGTGTACTCGCCAGGAAGACAGAGAGAGACAGAGACAGAAAGCAAGAAATCACTCCCCAGGGAAAATGTCCACGCCGCAATCCCTTCTCCTCCATTCTCCTCTTGGGATCTTGGGCACTCACGCACACGCACCCGGTGTGAGTTTAAGCCACTGGGTCCGGGACTCAAACCGTGGTCAGCTACATGAGAGTTCAGCAACGCAGCCATTATGCTGTTGGTCCCCAATAGTCTTAATTCTTAAGAATTTTTTTTTTGAGAGGTTTTTGCTATAGGGCACGTGTACTCGCCAGGAAGACAGAGAGAGACAGAGACAGAAAGCAAGAAATCACTCCCCAGGGAAAATGTCCACGCCGCAATCCCTCTTCCTCTTTTCTCCTCTTGGGATCTTGGGCACGCACGCACACAAGCCTGGCCTGAGTTTAAGCCACTGGATCCGGGACGTGAACCGCGGTCGACTGCATGGAGTCCAGCGACATAGCCATTACACTAACTGCTGGACTTGATTCTTAAGAATTTTTTAAAAAGAAGTATTTAACTTTACTTATTTTAAAAATTTTGACCAGAGAGGGACAGAGTGAGAGAGAGAGGGAAAGTGAGAAAGCTAGCCATCAGGTCCAGGACTCTCACCGTGGCCAGCCATGTGGGAGTCCAGCACCCTTAAGTACCACACCACCTGCTGGCCCTAATTCTTAAAGACTTTTTAAGAACTCTCATACCCTTGAGTCTGGGTGTTACGATTCTTAAGAGCTGGAAGTCAAAAGATATGATAAGTCTAGTACACAGTACCAGTGCCAAGCTAAGGAAGAATGGAATTGAGTCCCAATTCAACAGGGTGAGTAGACTAGTTAAAATCAGTGTGGTGTAGGATAAAGGTGTGTATATGAAATCCACGGTTCCACAGTCCTATGTTTGATGATATCACAGTAAAGACAGGACACTCAGGGTTTTTGATGGTTTTTCTCATTAAGATTTTAATGTAGGTGTAAATGAAATTCTCATTTTAAAAAAATTAAAGAAAGTTTTCATTTATTTTTTAGAATAAAGATTTAGTGCACAAATACAGCCCAAAGCCAACAGAAAAATAGCTTTGCCCTGTCATTTCCCTAAGAAAGCACTGTAGTTACTCAGATAGGCCAAAGGGGGAGGGGAAAGCAATCCTCTGAGTTCTAGGCTTCATGAAAGGACCACATTAAACTATGTACATCGATTTGATGTGCAAGTGTGCAATAAATATGTACACATACATTCCTATCTGCTTTACATCATTCTAGAGTATTCAGAGTAGATCAAGCTGGGGTTCAGAAATGTGAAAAGGCCATAACAGTGAGAAGGAAAAAAAAAGGATACAATGGTTTTCAGACCAGTAGAATAATAATGCTTAGCTAGTTAATCATTTTAACTTTGGAGCAGACTAGAAAAGTAGTTTGGAAATAAATGGTACCTGTAGGGATGCTTACTGCAATACCTGTTAAATGTACTGTGTCAGTTTCTGGTAATAGTGCTGACCTGATTCTATGGTGCTAGTACCGCTCCCACTGTCTGGAGTTCCGCTAGCTGGCCAGCTCTAGCTGCCCAGGGTCTTTAGAAGCATTTCGAGAGTGCTGCTGCTGAGCCTTTTAGAAGATAACTAGCTTTAACCTACGTCTCCTTATGTGGCGACATCAACTGCTCGTGGTCCCAATGAAGTATAAAAGAGGATATAAGCTGCTGAAGACTTCACAGAAGAAACAGAGATATCAGAAACTTCATGATCATCAAATTTAAACCACCGCTGTCTTGCTGCGTTTTTGCAATAGGCAGTGTAGTGGCCTCCGTCCAGCCCTCCGTAGTGATTCTGTGCCAGACAAGATAGATAAATCAATTCAAATTATTATTTAAAATACGTCGACGTCAACGATGTTAAAGCTTTATGTTATTCTCACTCTCCTGTGAGGTAAGGAACCACTACTTGAAATTCCTAGGTAGGTGTGTGGTTTTTTTTTTTTTTTTTTTTTTTTTAAGTCTACATGAAAGAAAATAGTTCTTAGTTCAAAGAGATACTTACTGAAACAGAAAACAAGTTATACTTCTTCAAATTGTTCTTTGGACCAATAACATACTGTGACAAGTCAAGATTTTCTAACGGGAAGTCCACAGATGTCTGCAATTTTTGCTTCCACCTGCCATCGTAAGAAAAACTGCAGAACAAAACAGTACAGAAATTGAACTGACGGAGGCACTAGAATGAACCCTGACCTGTTCGTTAAGAGCTACAGCTGGATTTTTATCTAGAACTGTAAAATCACCTCCAATACAATTACTCCGAATTCTGGCAGTGGGGGAACCTGTTCAGGGTACCTGGTTTCATTTTCAATTTACAAATGTGAAAACTGAGGTGCACCGATGCCAAATGACCTACTGAAGGTCAAACACTAGGATGGCAGAGGCAGGAACACTCTGCCATCTTTATAGTCTTTCTCTGTAAATAGCTGCAACTGTTAGAAGAGGCTTCTGCAAAGGGAAGGCCCACGCGTTTATAACGCACAGATCTGGTCACACAGGTCACAAAGGATAGCAGAGCTGCTCTCAACTCAAACCTTACTTCTGGAGAAACTAAGCGAGAAACGGATGGCATATAGTGATGGGAATCATGGCACTCCATTATTCCAGTACACTCTGTTTCTTTAAACATCAAAATACTGCTATCTTGGTTGGTGTAATATGGCTATTTCAAAACTAATTTTGTCTTTTTAGGGAGATTTTTGCTATAGGGCGTGTGTGCTCACTGGAGAGAGAGACAAAGAGAAAGTAAGAAATCACCTCCCAATGGGGACAGCCATGCCACAATCCCTTCTCCTCCATTCTCCTCTCAGGATTTTGGGCACATATGCCTGGCCTGAGTTTTAAGCTGCAGGGTCTGGGACTCAAACTGCAGTTGACAACCTGGGAGTCCTGCGATGTAACCATTATGTCATCTGCTGGTCCCTCAAATCTAATTTTTACAATATAAATAAATAAATAAATATGTGTTTGTATGTATGTGTATATATATAAAATAGCCCCTGGGTGGATGACCAGGGTGTAATCCCTTCTCCTTCATTCTCCTCTCAGGATTTTGGGCACACATGCATGCACATGTGCCCAGTGTGAGTTTCAAGTCACCATATCAGGGACTTGAACTATGGATGGCCATGTAGGAGTCCAGTGACATAATTGGTATGCCACATTCTGGTCCCAGCATTCAAATTTTTAACAGAACAAATGTGTAATCATTTATAGAATTGTTTTATGTCCACAATCCTGAAGAAAAAGAGAGCAAACAGGCTATCGCTAGAAAAATTTACACAAGAGAAATGTGAACAAGTGTGTTGAGAGTAACATAATTTGTTTTTATCTTCCCTTAAGTCATTATTTAATTAAATTGATAAGAATTATTTTTTAGTTTGACCAGAGACAGACAGAGAGAAGAAAAGTGAGCAAACAAGCCACCAGGTTGAGGTTTGAACTTGGCCTTGTGGGAGTCTAGCACATTAATCACCATGCTACCTGCCAGCCCCCTGAAAGTAACATAATTTGGACTGGCCTTGCAGTGAAGCAGTTAGGTGGTGTGCAGAGAAAGCTGGATCCCACATAGCCAACCAGGGTTTGAGTCCTGACCCTGGCAAAACACTATAAACATGCATGTGTGCCCAGGATCCTGACCGGATGGTGAATTGAAGGAGAAAACAGTGCAGAGTGACCAGGCCTGGCTGAGGTGTACTTGCTCTTTAAAGCACATGTGTACTCGTCCCCTCTGGCAATAATCGAGAAAAAAGTTAAAAGAAAATTTTACGTAAGAATCCTTAGCAACACAAGATGAAACAAAAAATTAAAACAGATGCTACCCTTGAAAAAAAAAGTTGGCAATTCTCATAAAAAAGGTGAAACTTGGGACCAGCAGTTGGCATAATGGATATGTGGCTGGACTCCCATGTAGTCGACTGAAGTTCAAGTCTTGGACGCGTGTGCGTGCATGCCCAAGATCCCGAGAGGAGAATGGAGAAGGGATTGCGCTGTGGCCATCCCCCCTGGGGCGTGATTTCTTACTTTCTGTCTTTCTGGCGAGTACATGCGCCCTATAGCAACAACCTCTCCAAAAAAAAAAAAAGAAAATTCCTTTAAGAAATTTCTCAAAAACCCAGAAGTTGGGAGCTAGCAGTTGGCGTGGCGGTTAAGGCACTGGACTACCACATGGCTGATTAAAGTTCAAGTCCTGGACCTGGAAGTTTGCTTTCTCACTTAATTTCTCTGCATGTGTGTGTGTGTGTGTGTGTATGTCTTCCTCTGGTGAGCACACATGCCCTGTAGCAAATTAAAAGAAAATAAAATCAAGTAAATAATTCTAAACCCCCTTTCCCCACAAAACTCCAAAGCCAGCACTCCAGACAGATTACATAAAAGACAAAAGTTTACAACTCTCGCCATTATTCCTTCTACTATAATAGGACCAGATCATTTTCATTAGTTGGAAAAATCTAGACAAAACTATGTCTGCACTTAACAATAGTATGCTTGGGAACCAGCAGTTAGTGTAATGGCTATGTCGCTGGACTCCCACGTAGTCGACCGCGGTTCGCGTCCCGGACCTGGTGGCTTAAAACTCATGCCGGACGCATGTGCATGCGTGCCCAAGATCCTGAGAGGGGAATGGAGGAGAAGGGATTGCAGCGTGACCATCCCCCCTGGGGGGTGATTTCTCGCTTTCTGTCTCTCTGTCTCTCTCTGTCTGTCTGGCGAGCGCACGCGCCCTATAGCAAAAAGCTCTCCAAAACAAATAAACAAACAAAAAATAGTATGCTTAACACATTTTTATCTTTGAAATTATACTTTAAGAAACACTAAGGTGAACTAAGATAGTTCTTGTCATTTCTGCCTTATTTTCCTAGAGCTACCCTACCCAAATAATCTTCCTTCATAAAAATGGACCCTTAGGAGGAGGTATAATAAGTTTAAGTTACACAGTATTTACAATTGTTTTGTCTAAATTTTACTGAACAAGGAGAAAAATGTTCTCCCTTATCATTCCATTCTTTTTTTTTTTTAAGTTTTGCATAGGGTGTGTGCGCTTGTCAGAGAGAGAGGGGAAGTGAAAAAGCACCCCTCTGCTAGAAGGTGGGAGGTGGTGGCCATGCTGTAATCCCTTCTCCATTTTCCTCTTGGGTCATGGGCACCCACATACACCTAATGTGGGATCAAGCCACCTTAACCACCATACCACTGGCTGGCCCTCCCTTACCGTTTCAGATGCACTAAAAGCACAGGTGGTAACTTCCAGATTTCTATCTTTTTTAGAGAATCACGTCGAGCTCTACAATGACTGCAGTAAAATCTGTTGTTATCTGTGAGTTTTTCTTCTTTGGAAAATAATCTAAGGCAATCCTGGTGGGGAAAAACAAATAGCAGATATTCATTAATTCTTTTTTTTGTGAATTATTTATCTAATTTTGTTATTTATTTTTCAATTTGACCAGAGACAGACACAGAGAGAGAAAGGGAAATTGAGAAAGCAAGCTGCTGGGTCTGGGATGTGAACTATGGCCAGCCACGTGGGAGTCTAGCACCTTAACCACCACAGCATCTGCTGGCCCCCTCGTTAACTCATTTCTTCAACATAGTAACAGAGAATCTCTTCAGTGAGTTACTCTGAGGGCAACAGGGACATAACAGTAAACTCCAATAGAGGAGTCCTGCCCTAAACGTTTACAGTTGAGAGGAATGAAGATGACTGGGCAGAGAGTTACAGCACAGTGTGGTGAGGGGTCCTCTGATGCAGGGACAACCTACTTCTGTCCTGAGAGCACATGAGGAAGAGGCCAAACCTGGATCTGTGGGTGATGACAGACTTGCTGGAGGAAGCTAAGACCAAAGGCTTCAACAAGTTACTATATAAATCATATTACAGTGGTGTGAATGAAACAGAATGATTTATGTGATATTTCATAATAGCATTATATACTTATTTTAATAGAGATTTTTTGCTATAGGACACATGTGCTCACCAAAGAGAAAGAGAGACGGAAAGTGTGAAGTCACTTCCCCAGGGGGGATGGCTACACCACAATCCTCTCTCCTCCATTCCCTCCTTAGGATTTTGGGCACACATGCACATGTGCCTGGTGTGAGTTTCAAGTTGCCAGGTCTGGGACTCGAACCACAGTCAACCACAGTTGGAGTCCACATTATCATTATGTCATCTGCTGGTCCCAAGAGCACATATATATTTACAAAAAGAAGACCTGCTTCACCTGCCCCCATACTTTTTGTGGGCCTGCAGGTTGGCCGTAGCTGCGGGTCTCTGTTCCACAGGATGGGATTTGTTAAAGTTGTCAAGAATAAGGCCTACATTAAGAGATTCTAAGCAGGGACCAGCAGTTAGCGTAATGGCTATGTTGCTGGACTCCTATGTAGTCAACCGCGGTTTGAGTCCCCGACTGCGGTTTGCGTCCTGGACCTGGTGGCTTAAACTCACGCCGGGCACATGTGCATGCGTGCCCAAGATCCCGAGAGGAGAATGGAGGAGAAGGGATTACGGTGTGGCCATCCCCCCTGGGGGGTGATTTCTCGCTTTCTGTCTCTCTGGCGAGTGCATGCGCCCTATAGCAAAAACCTCTCTAAAAACAAAACAAAAAACAAAACAAACAAACAAACAAAAAACAAAAAAAGAGATTCCAAGTGAAATTTAGAAGATGATGAGAAGGTAAAACTGATTATTATGTTCGGAAATGCCTGGTGATCAGGGATAAAAATAAGTACAATAAACTCAAATACCGGAGGATAGTTGGTGTACCTAACAGAGATATCATCTGTCAGGTTGCCATACCCGTATAGAAAAGGATATGATAGCCTGCACAGCTTATGCACATGAACAGCAAATACAGTGTGAGGGCTGCCCTGACAATGATGCGGCAGCAGCATATGGTACTGGCCTGCTGCTGGCCTGGAGGCTCCTCAATAGGTTTGGCATGGAAATGATCTATGAGAGTCAAGTGGAAGTGACCAGAGATGAGTACAATGTAGACAGCATCGATGGTCAACCTGGTGCCTTCACCTGCTGTTTGGATGCAGGCCTAGCCAGAACTACCACTGGCAATAAAATTTTGGGGGCCCTGAAGGGAGTGGTGGGCAGAGGCTCATCTATCCCTCACAGTACCAAACGATTCCCTGGTTATACTTCTAAAAGCAAGGGATTTAATGCAGAAGTCCATCAGAAGCACATCAGGAGCCAGAATGTTGTGGACTGCATGTGTTACCTAATGGAAGAAGATGAAGACGCCTACAAGAAACAGTTCTCTCAGTACATAAAGAACAATGGAACTCCAGACATGGAGGAGATGTATAGAAAGCTCACACTGCTATACAAGAGAACCCAGTCTATGAAAAGAAACCCAAGAAAGAAGTTAAAAAGAAGAGGTGGAATTGTCCTAAAATGTCCCTTATTCAGAAGAAAGATCGGGTAGCCCAGAAGAAAACAAGCTTCCTCAGAACTCAGGAGTGGGCTGCTGAGAGCTAAACCAAATGATTTACTATGACTTTATTCCAGATAAACACAATAAACTTAACAACAAAGCAGGAAAAAAAAAAAGCAGACCTAAGTCAACGTACAGCTTTTGAAATTCATATATAAAACTTCTTAAAGGACTTAAAAATATATATATTACTTGTCAATTTAAGAATATTTAATAGGCTCCATCGCTCCTGAGAACTAGTGCTTTTAGGGAAAAAAGAGAAAAGATTTTCTACTGATTATTCAGTCTCTAGTCCACAAACTTGAGTGGAGAGGCAAGGGGCAGGCCTTCAGAAGGACTCCTCTAGGGCTCCTGAGAACTAGTGATTTCAGGAAAAAAAAGAGAAAAAGATTTTCTATTGATAATTCAGCCTCCAGCCCACAAACTCAAGTAGTAGGGAGCCCTTCTAGCCTTCTCTCTGTCTCTGTCTCTCTCTGCCTCTGTCTCTGTCTACTTATTTTTTGGTAATTTTTCCTTAAAAAAAAATTTTTGTTTTTTTTGGAGAAGTTTTTGCTATAGTGTGAGTGTGCTAGCCAGAAAGAGAGAAAGTGAGAAATCAACCTCCAGGGGGGATGGCTATGCCACAACCCTTTTTCTTCCATTCTCCTCTCAGGATCTTGGGCATGCACATACATGTGCCTGGCATGAGCCACTGGGTCCAGGACTCGAACCACGGTTGGCTACATGGGGGTCCAGCGACATAGCCATTACACCAACTGCTGATCCCCCTTTAAAAAAAACTTAAGGTAAAGTATTCTCTTGGTTTTCAGCCCCTCCTTTATCTCACTAATAATCCCCTTTCCCCAGCCCATCCAGGAGAGGCAAGGGGCAGGCCTTCAGAAGACTCTTCCATGGTTCCTGAGAACTAGTGATTGTGTGTAGCGTGCTGCGCAAGGTTTTATTTTTTGCCTTTTTAAAAGAATTTTTTTCAGTTGTTTCCTTTTTATTTTTTATCCTTCTTTTTCTGTTTGTTTTTCTCTTTTTTTCTCTGTTTCCTTTTCTTTTATTTCATCACTCTACTCCTCAATCTCCATTCTCTGTGTTTCTAGATGGATCTAAGGTAACTATAGCAAAACATCTAAATACTATTAGGGTTAACAGATTCCTCAATATCCAGTAAACCTGCTGCACAAAGGGATAAAAATGGAACGACAAAGTGATTCCAGATCACCTCCTTCTGCATACTCCTGAATGCTCAGACTGAACTTTAAGAATTAGGAAGAAACGCATCATCCACCAGGTGACTAGAAATCACTGCAGGCCACAAGAAATATGCGAAAGCAAGAAAATACCTCTCATCCAAGGGAAAATAACTCCTCTTCATCCACAGACAGTTCAGTGGAAATCATGGAAATGTCTGATAGAGAATTTAGAATATTCATAATGAAGAAGCTAACAGAGATGGAAGAGAAGAGAGATAATGAACTGCAGAAGAGGCAGAAGAAAAGGAGCTGATGAGTTCCAGGAGGTGAGGAAATTCTTGAAAGATCTAAAAGAGGAATTACATACTTTAAACAAGAATCAAATGGACCTTTTAGAGATGAAGGCTATAATACAGGAAGTCAAAATCTCTCTTGAAAGTATTAAAAGCAGAATAGATCATACAGAAAGTAGAATCTCAGAAATAGAAGAGAAAGTAGCTGGCTGAGAAAAATTCATCACGAAGACTGAGAAAATTGCCCCCCAAAATAAGAATAATATACAAGAAATACTACATATCATCAAACATCCAAACACCTGTATAAAATGGTATTCCAGAAGGCAAAGAGACTCATAAGGGCATTGATAATCTATTCCATGAAATCCTGCAAGAAAACTTTCTAAACCTAGAGAGGCACTCAAATATCCAGTCCCAAGAAATACAAAGGACCACAAATAGAATCAACCCAAGAAGATCCTCTCCAAGACACATTATAGCCAGATTGACCAAAACCACAGACAAAGACAAGATACTAAGATTGGCAAGAGATAAATGGCAAGTTACCTACAAAGGATATCCCATTAGGCTAACAGCGGACCTCTCATTGGAAACAATGCGAGCAAAGAAAGAATGGGAAAATATATTCAAAGTGTTAAGGGAAAAGCAATTTCAAC